GTGTGTGTGTGTGTGTGTGTGTGTGTGTGTGTGTGTGTGTGTGTGTGCGCGCGCGCGCGTACGTGCATGCACGTGTCTATAAAATGAATGGAGAAACCCAACCTCTCAGGGTCCAAGATGTGAACCTACTTTCCCTCTCTCCATTTTCGGCCTGCTGTGGGTGGAAGTGGCCAGGGTGGACCCTCCAGTCCCCTCTCCAGCTTCCACCCGAGAGCTGCAGGCTGCCTGCTGCTTCTTACCTCTCTGTACAAAGCCACTGCAAAACCCGCTCTATCTTCCTCCTCCTGACTCACCCATCCTCAGAGAGCTGGTGGCTCCTCTCCCTTCCTTCCCAAGCCCCACCCCACCCAAAGAGTTGCATGGCCTCTCTTCTGCACGGCTCTGTAGCAGATGCAGTTGGTGTTCTGTCACCTACTGGCTCTGTAACCTTGGGCAAGTCACTTAAGCTCTCTGAGTCTCAGCCTCAGGGAGACCACCCAGGGCCCCCAGGCTGGGCACTGCACAACTACAGACTATGCAGCCTGTCCCATGGTGCTCTTGGATTGAGCAATGCAGTGACCTGCCTCAGGTTCCTCCCACGAAGGTGGTAATACTACTGGGTGGATGACTATAATATAACATGTGTAAAATTCCTAGAACATACACTTAGAACTGGGCACTTAATAAGCACTTAAGTGGCAATCTTTAGAGTTGTTTTATTATCATCACTATTATTATTATTGCGTAAAGAGTGCTATCCTCCTTCTCCTCTGACCCATAGGGTGTGGTTGTAGGGTTGGTGGGAAGTTGAGTTTTTCAGAGCCGAGTGATGACTCTGGGGGGGTCACAGCAGTATGGACTGTTTTGTCTCAAGGAAGGTGTCTCTATTGCCCATCCGTGACCCAGGAACCGAGCCTGCTGCCATGATGGCCTGGGCTGAAATGAAACACATCCACAGACACACACTCAGAGAAGAACCATCTGCTCTTTACTCAGGGGATCCAATGATGAATGCAAACACGCAGGGGAAACTGGGTGTTGGCCCTATGATCTAGTGGACTTATCTCCCTGCACCATGCGGGGGGAGCCTTGCTGCCCATTCTTTTGGGACAGCCCATGATGAACATTCCCTAAGTTTTCTGAGTGCCCCATAAATACACCCCCTTCTTTCCTCATGCAACCACTCTTCCCCAGGGTCAACCTCCCAGGTTTTAGGGGCCTCTACCCTACTAGGAAGAAGTTCCCTTTTCTGATGAGTCTGTACTTCTGTGACGTCAAAGTGAGTGCCTTTTAAAATTTTGTGCCCTAGATGCCTCACCCTATTTCTGACCTCACTTCTGGCTGGCATATATTCACCAACTGTCTTGATTTGTGAATCAAAGTTGTTCCTTCACTTCTTGACATTTTTTAGGCAACAGTTGGTTTCTCCCCAGCCAAGGAAAGTGGGGAGAGCATTGAGCCCCAAAGAAAAGGTGTGTCTCTGTCAGTTTGGGCTGCTGTAACAAATACACTGTAGACTGGGTGGCTTAAACAACAGGTACTGGAGGCTGGAAGGTTCAAGATCAAGGTGCCAGTAAATCTGGTGTCTAGTGGGGACTCTCTTCTTGGTTTCAGATGGTTCTCTTCTAAATGTATCCTCACATGGCAGAGAGCAGAGCGGAGAGAAGAGAAGCAAGCTCTTTTGCCTCTTCTCCTGAGGGCACAAATTCCATTCAGTAGGGCTCCACCCTCATGACCTAATTACCTCCCAAAGGCCTCACCTCCTAAAACCATCACATTAGGGTTAAGATTTCAACAGATGAGTTCTGGGGGGACACAAACACTTGGTCCATGGCAGACAGGAAGGAAACCCTTCTGGCTATCCTTCATATTGTGCTATAGTTGGAATTTTTTTCTTGTCCTCAAGTGTCTAAATACACGTAGACCATCTTGCACCACAAGGGCTGATTTCTCTGCCAAAAACCATGATCAGGTCTATGTGGGAGATTCACATTCCCCCTGCTGCCATTACTCTGACTTTATTGTGCTTAAAATTGAATGGGCCTCAGAATCATCTGGAGGGCTTGTTAAAACATAAATCGCTGGGCTCTGAATTTCTGAGTCTGTAGGTCTGAGGTGGGGCCTACCATTGACATCTTACACTTTCTAGGTGATGCTGATGCTGCCGGTCCGGGAACCACATTTTGAGAACCACTGAGCCCCTCCCCCAGCCACAAAATCCTCTTCTTCAAACTTGGAGTCAGGATTCTCTTGACTGCAAAGCTTGCGTTGGGTTGGGGAGAGGGATGGAGTGGAGAAGGGAAGCTTCCTCACATTCTTATTATAGTTGCACACAAAAAAGTTAGCTCTTTATGAGCCTTATAATGAACAAGGCATTGTGAAATATGACTGGGATGAGATTGCTGGGTTCAATAAAGTACGAAAAATACTATATATTATTAGCACAGTGCTTTGTAGTTTATAAACGGCTTCCACATGCATTTTCTACTTTGATCCTTAGAGAGACCCTGGGAGGTGAGCAAGGCATATATCATCACCCCATGTTACAGAGGAGGAATCACAAGGGGAATTAACGTTTTTCCTTGCCTGCTGTGTTCCAGACACATTCCATAAAGATGCTCATCTAGACCTCACAACAACCCTCAGAAATTGGTATTATTACTTATCATGTGGATCAGGAAGCTTGGGGCTGAGAAGCTGAATGATTTGTCAAAGGTTGTGCATTTAATTAGCAGCAGAGCCAAAACTAAAATCAATTTCTCCTGACTCCCCATTCAGGACTCGGAAGACACAGTTACACATATTTTGTGTGTGCAGTTGGGGTGAAATTTATAACTATTCAAGCAGTTGTAACTCTTTTTAAGAGAATTTTTTTTGGTCCTTTCAGATTCTGTCTTGACTCCTCTCTCTGTGTTCAGTTTTTTCAATCTAGGTTTTCAATCCTTTGTGACACAGAATCAAGGTACTTGGAAGAGAGTGTTGGAACCAGAGGCGAAGCTGAGTTACATTCAGAAGAGGGAGTAAGTGGAGGGGAGGTGGTTGGGGAATGCCTTGTGGGCTAAGTGTTGAAAGTTTTGTGGGTTTGGCAAGTGGGAGACCCCAGAGCAGCTGCCGGGTGGGAACTGGGAGAAGAAAGAGAGTGGGATTTCACAGAGTTTGTCTCTGCATTTAAATTGGATCTCTCTTACTATTCTTAAAGAGATGCAGGGAAAATTGACACAAATGTAAAATTACTTTTGGCTGCTGAACTGTGCTCATTTGTATGTGATGCTGTGCAGAAAATGGGTTACCTGGGACACCATTTTATATTAAGGCTATGTACGCATGTGTTTTAAAGTTAGGATGTTTGAATGTGAAAGATAAGGTGTAAAAATATGGTTCAGTGGCAGAGATACTAAGGCTGGGAAGGAAAGAGATAAGGGGAGAAGGAGAAATAAAAGAGAAAGAAACAAAGAAGAAAAAAAAAGCGGGGGGGGGGGAGGTATTAGAAAAATGGACAGATGGGGTAAATATACAGAGAAGTATCTTGAAAATAGAAACAAATTGGCATAAAGTAAGTTTGTCTTCTACTCGTTTCCCAAGGCTCTCTGCTACTGTGTTTCTCAAAATGTGATTAACTATTAGGAATATATTTTCCATTGTTACTCACTACTTATACACATATATAACTGGAAAAAACCTTTTTCTTTTTCAGGGACTAATGCTTACCTTACAGTCCCCCATGAGCCACATTTACCAGTATTCATGTCCCTCCCCCAGTGACTGACTTCAACTAGCAAGACATTAGCAAGGGTGATGCAAGGGGAGGCTTGCTAAGCTCTTGCACAATGGGGCCTGTCCTCCTGGAATTTTGCTCTTGTGATGTACTCCCTTGGAACCCAGAAATCATACTGTGGCTGCCCAAATTAGCAGTACGGAGAGGCCACTGGTTGGAGCACTGAGGCCCTAGCTGACACCCAATCTGAGCTCCCAGCCAATAGCCAGCCTCAGCTTGCCAACAATGTAAATGACGCATCTTGAAAGTGGGTCCTCCAGCCTCAGTTGAGCCACAACAACTGGTGCCCATGGAGCAGAGAAGAGCTGTCTTCACTGAGCCCTGCCTAAATTCCAGAATTATGAACAAATAAATGTTGCTTCAAGCCCGCCAAGTTTTGGGTTAGGTTTGTTATGCAGCCATAGGTAACATTCTAACTACACGCAGTGCACAGTGGTAGTTTCTATTGTATTCAATTCTATCTTATTTGTCAAGATGGTAAATTGATTTCATGACTTACTAATGAGTCATGATCCACAATTTGAAAAGTGCTGCTCTAATCAATGGCAGATGTGTTTGAGACAATCTGTTTTCCAACCTCTCCCTCTATCCTGTTGCTCTTAGCCTCTGTGACATAAAAGAGATGAGAGGTAATCTCAAGATGTCACCCAGTCCAGGGCTGTGTCTCACAAAGGGCTGCCCCTAAAGCCATCTGGGTCTCCAGGTAGACAATTCTATTCAGTAGATAATTTTACTCAGGAATTATTTAGCCCTTTTGTATGCCTGGCTCTGAATCCTGCAAGCACAGTTTATAATCAAGCATGGTCTACTGGTACCCAAGATACTAAAGTTTTCACTACAAAGGGAGGATGGATATCACTCCCCCAACCCCTGCCCCATATACCCATCCTATGCCCTCTATTTCTCAAGACTCTGGGTTAAGATGAAGCAAGCATGTCCTATGTCATTAAAGCTTCTTATAACACAGTCCTGCCACTTACTTGTTTTCCCCCAAATACAGCAATCCCTGCATCATATTCCACAGAACAAAAATATCAGGACCACCAGGGGAGCCTGTTAAATGCAGATTCCCAGGCCCAACTAAGTGATATGAGCTCAAAAAAGATCCCTGGAGAGTGGTACCTGGAAATATGCATTTTTATGAGGTCCCCAGCCAGTTCTGCTGAACATGGACCTATAGGTTTAACTATTCTAGGGGCTAAGGTCTGGATCAGTGCATTTCAGCCTTTCCTGCCTCAAGTCATAGTAAGAAATATGTTCCCATTCTGTTCCTACACACACATATGTATCTGTAGAGGAAACAGAAGTTTCATCAGACTCTACCGTTGATGTATGCTGCACTTTGAATTTTCTATACTGTTTTATTTTTTTCAAAGGCTGATAGTAACTCATTAAACTGATTTTATGATTCACCAGTGGGTCACACTGTACCATTAGTAATAAGCCTGGCCTAAGCAGGCTATGTGTCTATCCAGTAGACATGGCAGATTCTCCAGAGTTTTGCTGTAATAATGATTGTTTGGAGTTGCAAGCCTGGTCTCCATCTTTTTCCAATGTGCCTTCTGATTCTACTGCTACCAGGGTTTATATTCACATAGCACTTACTTAACCACATCCCTCTTTGTCATTGTTGGGTCTCCAGCTCAGCCTAGGCTGGGACTCAGGGTGCAGCTGAATCAGGGCCTGGGGCTCCCTCCAGGGCTCAGTTTGCAAGAACCAGTAACTCTGGGAGCTTTTGGTTGCTGGGAGAAGGACATAGGGCAGGGCTGTGACAGCTAACCTCTGCTTTTTCCCCATGATGGTTGTTCCTGAGTCCTCAGGAAGCAGGAACTGGAGTTCCAAGTCCATGAATGGTATCTACGAAGGGCTGTGTGCACCTCCTGCAAGGGCGGAGCTTCTCCAACGTCCAGCTGCTCTAAAGACCTAAGAGGCACCTCTCAGGACTCCCAGAAACAAATTGGAGAAGATGGTGTTATCCAATAATTTAAGTAACTTTGTCTTGAATTTGTATTTTCATCTTACATCACTTCTTGGGCTGAGAAGTTCCCTAGATTTATTGCCTTCTGTATAAGTAGGGCTTGCTTGTCCCTAACTCTTTCAAGTCCAAAGTGGGCGACTATCACAGGCTACTCCAGGACTAGGCACCTGTCCTTATTCCCTGTCCCATCCTCTCTGGGATGCTTGACCTTCTTCTCAGTTTCATCCTTCAGCCAGATGAGGACCCATCTTCTCTGTCCTCAGACTTCAGCCTTTCTACCCCCTCCATCATTTTTGACATTTAAGACAGCCACTGAAGTCAAAGCAGATTCAAAAACGTGCCATTCATGGTGTCCAAGAAAGCCAAACGGATCCCCAAATGATTGATTTAGTGGTTGCAGCTGGGCCTGGATGCAGACAGACAGCTAATGAGGTAATTTTTCTAAATGCAAAGTGTAAACAAGATAACAGCTCCCTCCCTCTCTCTGAGTCTCTCTGGGTTTCTCTCCCTTTCTTTCAATTTTCTGCAGAGATGCACATACCAGTTTGTATTTTATACCTTTACGAGTTGAAATGTGTCCCCTCAGAATGATATGCTGGGAGTCCTAATGCCCAGAATGTGGCCTTATTTGGAGATGGGATCTTTTCAGAGGTGGTCGAGTTAAAATGAGGTCATTAGGGTGAGCCCTAATCCAGTATGATTGGTGCCCTTATGAAGAGGGGACAATTTGGACATAGAGAGAAGCATGCATAGAGGGAAGATGATATAAGGAGACACAGAGAAGCCATCAACTACAAGCCAAGGAGAGAGGCCTGGAACAGATCCCTTCCTCACAGCCCTCAGAAGGAACCAACCCTACTGACACCTTGATCTTGGAATTCCAGCCTCCAGAACAGTGAGACAATACATTGCTATTGTTTAAGCCACCCAGTCTATAGCACTTTGTTACAGCAGTCCCAGCAAACTAATACACACACATTTAAAGTGGTTTGCTTCTGTGTTATCTCAGTTGGTCATTCTCCTTCCTGAGGTAGGGGAGGGCAAAGAAGGTGAAGATTTCCTGTGAAGCTGGTGAGGCTTATTCAGGGCCTTCAGCTACACCAGCCCTTCCAGAGCCCTGGCAGGACTGTCTGTGATGTCTCCATGTAGTCACATGTTTCTGTAAAATGAGCAAATGATGCTTAAACTGCCAGGGTTATGACTACTGACTCTTCACGGCAGCTTCCCAGCCAGCACACTTTCCATCACATCATGTGGCCTTCGGGTAGCCACACGGCATTCTTAAACCTGGATAAAAGGCATTTGAGTCGACAATGTAGATAGTTGGGGTTCAGTGGGATACATGTATGGTTTGTGGCCACTCCCACCTATAATTAAATTTTGCTAGTCACCCCAGTGGAGGAATGGCTTCCAGGGATGCTACTACTGCCCTCTGTGTCCATTCACCTTGTAATGGGACACAAAAGTGTAGGCCAAAGTCAGGTCACTGCGTGAAGAGAGCCCATGGCAACCAGCACCAGAAGTGTGTGAGGAGTGGAGAAAAATCAGGTTTGAAACATGGAGCCAGAAGTTGGTCTATGGAAATTCTTCCACTCATCACATTCATAAAATTATTAGTCCTTAAAAGTTTAGTATCGGATCCTGAACCAAGATGGTGGAGGAGAAGGATGTGCTCTCTCTCCCTCTTGTGGGAACACCAGAATCACAGCTAGCTGCTGGACAATCATCAACAGGAAGACACTGGAACTCAACAAAAAAGATACCCCATATCCAGAGACAAAGGAGAAGCCACAATGAGACAGTAGGAGGGGCGCAATCACAGTAAAATCAAATCCTATAACTGCTGGGTGGGTGACTCACAGACTGGAGAACACTTATACCACAGAAGTCCACCCACTGGAGTGAAGGTTCTGAGCCCCACGTCAGGCTTCCCAACCTGGGGGTCTGGCAATGGGAGGAGGAATTCCTAGAGAATCAGACTTTGAAGCCTAGTGGGATTTGATTGCAGGACTTTGACAGGACTGGGGGAAACAGAGACTCCATTCTTGGACGGCACACACAAAGTAGTGTGTGCATTGGGACCCAGGGGAAGGAGCAGTGACCCGAGGGGAGAATGAACCAGACCTACCTGCTAGTGTTGGAGGGTCTCCTGCAGAGGTGGGGGTGGCTGTGGCTCACCGTGGGGACAAGGACACTGGCAGCAGAAGTTCTGGGAAGTACTCCTTGGTGTGAGCCCTCCCAGAGCCTGCCAAAGAGCCCAGGTAGGCTCCAGTGTTGGGTTGCCTCAGGCCAAACAACCAACAGGGCGAGAACCCAGCCCCACCCATTAGCAGTCAAGTGGATTAAAGTTTTACTGAGCTCTGCCCACCAGAGCAACAGTCAGCTCTACCCACCACCAGTCCCACCCATCAGGAAACTTGCACAAGCCTCTTAGATAGCCTCATCCACCAGAGGGCAGACAGCAGAAGCAAGAACAACTACAATCCTGCAGCCTGTGGAAAAAAAAAACACATTCACAGAAAGATAGACAAGATGAAAAGGCAGAGGGCTATGTACCAGATGAAGGAACAAGATAAAACGTCAGAAAAACAACTAAATGAAGTGGAGATAGGCAAACTTCCAGAAAAATAATTCAGAATAATGATAGTGAAGATGATCCAGGACCTCGGAAAAAGAATGGAGGCAAGGATCGACAAGATGCAAGAAATGTCTAACAAAGACCTAGAAGAATTAAAGAACAAACAAACAGAGATGAACAGTACAATAACCGAAATGAAAACTACACTAGAAAGAATCAATAGCAGAATAAATGAGGCAGAAGAGTGCATAACTGACCTGGAAGACAGAATGCTGGAATTCACTGCTGTGCAACAGAATAAAGAAAAAAGAATGAAAAGAAATGAAGACAGGCTAAGAGACCTCTGGGACAACATTAAGCACAACAACATTCACATTAAAGAGTCCCAGAAGGAGAAGAGAGAAAGGACCAGAGAAAACATTTGAAGAGATTATAGTTGAAAACTTCCCCAACTTGGGAAAGAAAATAGCCACCCAAGTCCAGGAAGCACAGAGAGGCTCATACAGGATAAATCCAATGAGAAACATGCAGAGACACACAGTGATCAAATTGGCAAATATTAAAGACAAAGAAAAATTATTGAAAGCAGCAAGGGAAAAACGACAAATAACATAAAAGGGAACTCCCATAAGGTTAACAGCTGATTTCTCAGAAGAAACTCTACAAGCCAGAGGAAGTGGCATGATATACTTAAAGTGATGAAAAGGAAGAACCTACAACCAAGATTACTCTACCCAGCAAGGATCTCATTCAGATTCAATGGAGAAATCAAAAGCTTTACAGACAAGCAAAAGCTAAGAGAATTCAGCACCACCAAACCAGCTCTACAACAAA